TTTATTTTAAAATTTTAATAATTATTAAAATATTTAAATTTTAAAATAACCCATTAAATTTTAAAAGTAAATTATTAAAAAAAAAATGATGTCAGGGTATAAGAAGAATCCGAAGAACGAGATTGTGTAATGAGTATATCCAATTTATGAAAAACAATTTTCAAGTGAGAGGATATAGGTAAATGAATGAATGAAAACAAAATGACAATGAGAATGATAAATGCGCTGAGCTCTCGACCAATGCTGCAGAGCACAGACTGATGATCGACAGGGACACAAAACCCAGTTTACAGCTCACCTGTAATGAGAAAGTAGAACCGTACGTACCGTAATTTTCAGGTTAGGTAAAGTAGTTATATGTGCTTAGCATTCATTGCATTCGCTGATTCTTCCATCCTTCTCCGCGGCCCCAGTGGTGCTTAACATTTCAAAGTCAATCATCTGGTTAAGTTTTAAAAATAATTAACCCAGTGTCCCACTCGGAAATTCCCCCCAAGGAGCACTGCTGTCTCGTTCGTTTAGCAGAGTCTAGATAACAGCCATGGTATCGCTGATAAACATTTTTCTCTTATAACTAATTCAAAATTTTCATGGTGACATTTATGAATACGTACGTGAAAGGAGCGAAGCAGATCAAAGCAAGTCGTGTAATGCGCTCATCAGGTTTAGCAGGAGAGGGGTTGTGAGGGTGCAGAAGAATGGGTGGTGAGAAGTGAAAATCCAATTAAGCAAAGGCAGCAGTGTACTGTGTGTGTGTGTGTGTGTGTGTCTTTGGGCAGACAAGTAAGCGATGCTTTAATAATTATATTATGAGGAGAAGAGAGAGCGCAGGAATAGCTAGGTTTTTAGTACTACTGTTTTGGGTTCATATGCTGTTAATGGTGGCTCGTCGGTTTCCGATGTACGACTTTCGGAATGCTCAGACCCACCGCTCTCCTCTTATATGAGTTGTCGCTTTTGTACGGCATCTGTAGTCTGCACACATTTCCGATGCTCTTTCCTCACCGTGATTTACACGTTAACCCTTCTTCTCTTCTTTCTTTTTTCTGTCACCTTTTCAGTTTTCCTTTTCTTTTAATACATGTTGCCAAATCAACCTTGGTTTTATTGGTAAAACACTACAGTTGATTTCCACGTTGTTTTGCTGATAAATATATATAAGATATTTATTTATATATAAAATGTATATATTATATTTATATATAATTTTAATTATTTATCACTTTATTCCCACTATTATTATGTTATATATATAAATGTTAATAGAAATTATGTATAACAAATTAATAAATAACAATTACGAGACGAAAGTAGTATAATTTAGTTTATTTAACGCGACCAAACAACTTTAAAAAAAAAAAAAAATGAAGAACACCACCAAACAACTGCCATGTTTTCAAACTATTTGTGTCATCATGTTGACCATTACGCAATTTCCTGGTCCACGTCTTTAATATATATATATATATATATTTATTTATTTCTTTATAGAAAGATTATGATTCTAGAAGTGATCGTGATTCGTGATAC